CCAAGGTTTCTCCCCATGTGATAGTCTGAAATATGGCCTCGTGGGAAGGGAAAGACCTAATCTTCCCCCCCGCCTGACACCCATGAAGGGTCTGTGCTGAGGAGGACTAGTACAAGAGAAAAGAAGGTCTCTTGGCAGTTGAGATAGAGAAAAGCATCTGTCTCCTGCCCGCCCCTGGGCAATGGAACATCTCGGTGTAAACACCCAATTGTATGTTCTATTTACTGAGATGGGAGAAAACGTCTTAGGGCTGAAGTTTTGCTGCTCTTTATGCATTGAAAAGGTTTATGGAGATGTTTACATATGCATATCAAGGCACAGCACTTTTCCTTAAACTTATTCAAGTCACAGAGATCTTTACTCATATGTCTTACTGCTGACCTTCTCCCTACTATGATCCTATTATCCTGCCACTTCCCTTTTCTAAGATGGTAAAGATAATGATCAATAAATACTGAGGGAACTCAGAGACCAGGCCAGCGCGGTTCCTCTGTATGCTGAGCGCCGGTCCCCTGGGTCCACTTTTTCTTTCTCTATACTTTGTCTCTGTGTCTCATTGCTTTTCTCAAGTCTCTCGTTCCACCTAATGAGAAACGCCCACAGTTGTGGAGGGGCAGGCCACCCCTTTATACACTAAAATTAAAAATCAGCCAGATGCAGTGGCTCATGCCTGTAATCCCAGCACTTTGGGAGGCCGAGGTAGGCGGATCACGACATCAGGAGTTCAAGATCAGCATGGCCAATGTGACGAAACCCCATCTCCACCAAAAATACAAAAATTAGCCAGGCGTGGTGGCGGGCGCCTGTAATTCCACCTACTTGGGAGGCTGAGGCAGGAGAATCGCTTGAACCCGGGATGGGGAGGTTGCAGTGAGCTGAGATCATGCCATTGCACTCCAGCCTGGGCGACAAGAGCAAGACTCCGTCTCAAAAAATAAAAATAAAAAAATAAAAATCAAGGAATCAAAAGCACCACCACAGACACATTTATAATGTTTAAACAACTATCTGGGTATCCCATGGCCCAGTCAAATTGACACATGAAATTACCCATCACACCACCTATGTTCTGGCTCTGGCTGTACAAAATGAGAGGTTTTTTTTTAGACAGAGTCTAGCTCTATTGGCAGGCTGGAGTGTAGTGGGGTGATCTCGGCTCACTGCAACCTCCGCCTTCCTGGGTTCAAGCGATTCTCCTGCCTCAGTCTCCCGAGTAGCTGGGATTACAGGTGTGCGCCACCACACCTGGCTAATTTTTGTGTTTTTAGTAGAGACGGTTTCACCATGTTGGTCAGCCTGATCTTGAACTCTTGACCTCAGGTGATCTGCCCGCCTCAGCCTCCCGAAGTGTTGGGATTACAGGCACAAGCCACTGCACTCAGCCCACATAGGTAATTTCTAATAGTGCTAGGTGCTAATATCTTAGACCAAGGAAAGTGAAGAGGTGTATGAAGGGAGGCATGGGTGGGCAGAAACATCGAACCTTATAGTGAAAGTGAAGAGGATTTAAAAGTCTTTGTGCTCAAGAGTGAAATTACAGTTATGCTATAGGAAGAGCAATTTGATATCAAGGTGCAGGGTAACACATAGAAGAGAGGCACTAGAGGCAGAGAAGTTATCTGGGAAGCAAGCAAATATAGAATTTAGGGAAGATGAACGAAATGAATAAAAGAAAAAAAAGAAGGGAATGTGATAGTATTAGGTGTTGAGGCCTTTGGGAAGTGATTAGATTATGAGGGTAGAGCCCTTAAAAACAGGATGAGTGCCTGAGTGCCCCTATAAAACAGATTCCAGAGAACTTTCTTGCCCCTTTCCACTATTTGAGGACACAAACCAAATTTGCAGTCGTCAACCCAGAAGAGGGCTCTTACAGAACTTGACCATGCTGGCACACTGATCTTTAACTCCCATCCTCAGGAATTGTGAGAAATAAATGTCTATAGTTTATTAGCTAAGTAGTTGTATGGTATTTTTGTTATAGCAGCCTGAACTGAGTAAGACGGGAAGAAACTATTTATAGAGCATCTGTTATGTGTTATACGTACTCTTACGAGTTTTCACTTATACGAACTAAGAAGTGTCTGAAGATGTGAAAAGAAAACTGTAAGAAAGATACTACAACAAAGTTGAATTTGTTGAAGACTTAACAGCTGATTTTGTGTTTACGTGTGTATATAAATACAATAGCATAATCATTTGTGCTTGGGTAGGTAAGGTTGAAAAAGAGAGAGGTCTATAAAGGTCTATGGTTTCAAATACAAGTAACTGCTCAGGAAATAGTGGTATTATTAGAAAAAATGGATAACACAGGCTGGGCACAGTGGCTCATGCCTGTAATCCCAGCACTTTGAGAGGCCAAGGTGGGCGGATCACCAGGTCAGGAGATCAAGACCACCCTGGCTAACATGGTGAAACCCCATCTCTACTAAAAATACAAAAAATTAGCCGGGCCTGGTGGCGGGCGCCAGTAGTCCCAGCTACTGAGGAGGCTGAGACAGGAGAATCACTTGAACCCAGGAGGCAGAGGTTGCAGTGAGCCGAGATCACGCCACTGCACTCCAGCCTGGGCGACACAGCGAAACTCCGTCTTGGGAAAAAAAAAAAAGAAAAAGAAAAAGAAGAAAGGATAACACAGAGAAAGAATGGGTGGGGGAAGATTATGAGTTATATCTTTGACAAAAGTCAGGAATCCAAGAAAAACTGCTGAGTAATTAGTAGGAAACATAGGGCTAGAGGTAAAAAGAGAAGCTATGCCAAAAGATATATAGACTGTGATTATCTGCACAGAAATGGTAACTGAAGCAATGAGATTTACTTCGGTTACTAATGGAGAGATTGAAAATAAAGAAGAAGACATATTCTAATAAATTCCTCACTTGAGGAATATCTAGAGCTGTGCTGTCCAATATGGTAGTCTTTAGCCACATGATACTACTTAAGTCAATTAAATAATGAAAACTGTAGTCCTTGTCACACTACATTTCAAGTGCTCAATAGCCACATGTGGCTAGTGGCTACCATATTGGACATCATAAATATAAAACATTTCCAACATCATAGAAAGCTGTGACGGACATCATCATAGAAAGCTGTGATCTAGAGTTTGGTCAGAGTGTAGAAGAACCAGAAGAATCTATTCTCCTGAAAGCCAAGGGAAAAAACATTTCAAGGAGAGAATAATCAGTGGTATGAAGTAAAAGTGGGTGACAGCCAACCTCTCCCCCACACACACACACAAAAAATGAATTTTATGACTTCTAAAGCACTTTCAGACTAATTATAAAGTTGTAAACTAGATTACAACAGATTTTGGATGAAATGGGTGCCAAATAAGTAACAGATGTAGACAATTCTTTTCAGTAATTTTTCAGTAAGGAAAAATTGAATGAAAACATCAGACAGCTGAAAGAGAATAGAGTTGTTCTATATGTACGTGCTTAATATAAGCAGATTTGTGCACTGGCTGGAAGGCTTGGACGCCAGTCAACCAGCTATTTACCAACTCTAGCAATCTGAAAGGCTTTTCATGTAGCAATGACAATTGAAGGGACAGGATTGCATCATTTTAAGACAATAAGGAGCCTTAAAAATAATCTAATCCACCCCTCCTCACATTATAAAGAAAGCAGAGTTGCCCAGGGTCACACACACTACTCAGTGGTATTAAAATCTAGAATAAGAACTCAGGTCAGCAGGGCATGGTGGCTTATGCCTGTAATCCCAGCACTTTGGGAGGCTGAGGTGGGTAGATCACCTGAGTTCAGGAGTTCGAGACCAGCTTGGCCAGTACACAAAAAATTAGCCCAGCATGGTAGTAGCCTGTAATCCCAGCTACTCAGAGGCTGAGGCAGGAGAACTGCTTGAAGCCTGGAGGAGGAGGCTGCAGAGAGCCGAGATGGTGCCACTCACTCCAGCCTGGGCAACAAGAGAGAAACTCCATCTCAAAAAAAAAATACAAAAAACAAAAAAATAACTCAGGTCTTCCACAACTTAGTCCATTAGACTATCTCATTCAACTGCCTCCTAAGATACAGATCAAAGGTGAAGAAAGCTTCTTCAGTTGAATTCCACTAATCTACCAAGAAAATGATAATGTCTATGTTCACATATACACAACTTCAATTTTTTAGAAATGAAATGCAGTCCATTACTTCTTGACTTTAAAATTTAGAAAAACTGAGAACTAAGCATCAAATATCTATTACTTTGTAACGAACATCAAAAGAACTTTAAATATTATCTAAGTAAATCTATGGCCTGAGAGGTAGATGTTTTCACCATTTCACAGATTAGAAAAACATGCAGCAGATCAGTAAGGTCCCAAAGCCAGTAAGCGACACTCTTAATGTGCCTCTACACTACCATCAATCAGGAAATGGAGGAGAAAAGAAGAGAATAGAGCAGCATAGGCTAGGGAATGAAAATGAGATGTTTATCAAAGTATAAAAGTAACCAGAACAGATATGTTTACTAATGCCAACCTTAAAAATAAAGCCAAACAAAATGAGGCCTTCAGATAAACATTTTTATGTTTCGAGAAAATAACACCGATTCCCTTTGGAGAGGGGAACTGTGCAGCAGGGGGACAGGGATTGAAGGAAGACTTTTCACAGTAAACTCTAACTTTTGGAGTTTAACCATAACAGTGTATTGCTTACTCCAATAAATAAGAAAAAGGGTTAAAAAAAAAAAAACAACCTTTAAATATGTTTTAGTTCCTATCAAGTTTGTAATTGTTAGCATTCTACAATCCTCCAACAGGCCACAGAAAAACTGAAATTTCAGAAAACAAAAAATCCTAACTTCTGTTTTGAAAAAGGCAAGGCAGAGCTTATATTAAGGGGAAGAAATTTTGCCTTTGGGGATTGGGGGATCAGGAGGGGAGAGAAGCCGATTGCCTGCAACGATCAACTCAATTCCATTCCTATTTTTAGCCCATTTTTTTAGTCTGTTGCTAAGAAACCCTGTTGCCCGAAGGCAATTTACTAATAGGAACTTACATGAAGCAGGAGAAACCGGTGATCCTGAAATTCTTTCAAATCAGGCCATTCTATTTTAATCAATCCATTTTGGTGCCACTTGATAAAATATCTCCTTTCAATCTTTTTGTAGCTCTACTGTGATGTTGTTGCACTTGAAAGCAAAACGATCATTTATGAAATTTTAATGTAAGGCTTCTGCAAACCAGTATACCAGAAATGGAGCGCCATAGTTCTGGACTCTGATTTTCTATTAATAGTTGTCTTTTCTTCATGAAAATACCGTGAATTCCAAACAATGCCTTGCAAGGTAATTTTATGTTTTAAGAGATCTGGGGCAGAACATCGGAAAAAGAGTTGATAAAGCTATTACAGAAACGAAAGTTTATGAATTGAAATTACGATCTGGGAATGAGAGGAAAAGAGGGCTGAGACAGCTATTGCAAAACAACCCGGGGGTGTGCGGACCTGAGCGAGATGTGGGCTGGTGTGTCACGTAGAAATCAGCTCAAGATACAAACACGTCAGGAAAGGCTCGAAGCCGGCGGGAACCCTGACGCTTCGCATTTCTACCAACTCAGTTTAAGAAATACCTAACAACGTAGAAGTCATCGCTTTCGTAATTGGTGGCGACGATAAGCCACAGCGACCACGCTCAAACCGTTTCGACTGCAGCCAACCTAGAAATGCCACTTCCACCTAGTCTTCTGCCATCGCTAACCTCCCCTATAACCTCAAATTCGTCCAAATTAAAATCTGGCTGTGTTAGTGGTAAGAAGTTCAGTGATGCAGCAGGCTTCTTCAGCAGTGAGCTCTTTCCTCATACATCTTTAAAAGTCCTTCCAATCCGTTGGTTTCCCGGGCACGCGGGCAGAAAACCGAGCTAACGGCCACAGAGGTTCAAGAGGTGCCAACGTGGCTATAACGGGAAAACTGGATCCAAAATCAACCAGTAAACTGGGTAGCTAGCTCTACGCCCCGCCCACCACCCTTGCCAGCCAATAGCCTTCACAACTCTTCTGCCACTCCCGCCCATTCCAGTGCTACGGCGCTGCTTTTTCCTCCGCTCTGATCTCTTGAGTGCCGCTAGCCAGCTGTATACGCGCCCCTCCTCAGCTTCAGTAGGCAAGAGGGCCATCTGCCCTTCTCTCCTGAAAGTAAAGGGGACAACACCAGCTACGACGGGACTCCAGAAGTCAATCTCTCGAAAAGCAGCGGGGCGAAAAGAAAGAAAAAGGGTTTCCGAGGACTTCCACTCACACCCACGCTTTCCCTTAACCCGGAAGTGATTTCCGCCCCTCCTCTCCCTCTACGGTTGAGACTGGAGGAGAAGGACGGCCAGGTCTGGCCCGGCATGCCCTGGGCTTCCGGTGACCTCTGGCCCTTTTCTGTCGTCCGCTCTCTGTGCCTAGCGTGCTCGCTCGCTCATTGCCTTCCTTCCCTCTCTCGGTCTTCCTTCGCACGCTGCTTGGTGATTGTGGCGCTCGCGACAGGCAGGGAGGCGGTGGCGGAGGACACTCGTCATGGCCGCCTCTAAGCCTGTGGAGGCGGCGGTGGTCGCAGCAGCTGCACCAAGCTCCGGGAGTGGGGTGGGCGGCGGCGGGACTGCGGGCCCGGGCACGGGGGGGCTGCCGCGATGGCAGCTGGCTCTGGCGGTCGGGGCACCCCTGCTGCTAGGCGCGGGTGCCATATACCTGTGGAGTCGGCAGCAACGGCGCCGGGAGTCCAGAGGCCGGGGCGACGCCAGCGGCCTGAAGCGCAACAGCGAACGGAAGACCCCGGAGGGCAGGGCCAGTCCGGCCCCCGGCAGCGGACACCCTGAAGGTCCCGGTGCTCACTTGGACATGGTGAGAAGTAGCCCCAGGCCGTAGAGGTGGAAACGCGGGTACACCTTTTCCTTGGCGGGCTGTCAGTGAGGGGGCTTCCCATCAGACGGAAGCTGCCAAGCGGCAGCGCAACACATGGGTTTAGGGAGACTCATTTCTGCCTGCCAGTGGAGGGCACAGGAGTAGCCCGATGACAGGTTACTGGCATTCTTTGACAGTTTCCTTTTGGTTTCAGAAAAATCTTTTGCTTTTCTTCTCAGTGACACAGCATTTATTCCTAGTGTTGTAGATGGGAGTGGGGCATTTGCAAATGTGATGATTGTGTTTAATAAGTGAAGGAAGCTAAATTCCATTAACAATTGGCGTATCGTGATACGAACTGTTTCTGTGATTCCCAAAGCCTACAACTTAATCGGTAAAAGCCTTTTAATAACGAGCCACTCCCCCTTTTAGAGTGTGTTTTTGCTGGGGGTAAGTGGGCAACTACAGTGACGGTTGTTGACAAAAGCAGGAAAAAACCCCCAAAAAACCGATTAGATGGCTTTGTACATAGAAAAAGAAAGACTACACAGGTTCTAAAGAGTGAAATGGTGTTCAGTAGCATTTGTTTTACAGCCTCTGAACTGTAAGCAGAACTAGCAAGCTCCCAAGGCTGGTTCTCTCTCGGCCCTTGACTGCAAGCGCTCAGCGACCCGGGAACCTCCCCTGCCATGCCCCAGCCCGGAGGTGTCCTTTTACACTCCGGACCCCTTGGCCTTTCTCAGAAAACGCTCTGCACTGCGCTGTCCCCTCTTGTTGCACAAGAGTAGCAGCCACAGCAATGCTCACCAGGCTTGGTTGCACACAGCCCTCTGCCCCAGGTCCAGGCCCTACACACACATACCAAAAAAATGGGAGTGACTTCTTAAACTTTTTAATTGGAAGCATCTTAAATTCAGTTTTTCCATTTCACTTGGAAATATACATGACCAAGCCTAATATGCATAACATAGTTTCTCTGATGTTAGTCCAAGCATTGGAGTATTTAGTGAACAGCTTTGTATGGTTTTGGTGAACTGACTGTTAAATCCTTTTGGTATCTGACAGCTGTGCAGAGAATTAGCCTGGCTGCATTTGACACTACTGGGATTGGGTGTGGTGGATTTTATCTGGGTCTGGAGTTGTTCAGTGGTAGTACCAGAGTAAGTCGAGGTCAGAGAAACATTTGCTCAAATATCTCCCGGTTTTATAAATATGTATATACAGTTGGTCAAGTAACTTCCAGTTGTATCCAAGTGTATACACTTAAATACGTATGCAAGTCATTTCCATCTTATACTATTCATGTTTTTTTTTTTTTTTTTTTTTTTGGGCGAGTCTCACTTTGTTGCCAGGCTGGAGTGCCGTGCTTGATCTCAGCTCACCACAACCTCCGCCTCCTTGGTTCAAGCAATTCGCGTACCTCAGCCTCTGGAATAGCTGGGAGCTACAGGTGTGCGCCACCCATGCCCAGCATAATTTTTGTATGTTTAGTAGAGATGGGGGTTCACCTATGTTGGCCAGGCTGGTTTGAACTCCTGACCTCAGGTGAATCTGCCCACCTCACTCAGCTACCAAAGTGCTGGGGTTA